AATAAGGTGGTGTTCGAACAGGAAGATTAATTGGAAATGAACGAACTAAGTACTGTGTTTCAAAACTAGATTTTCTATTAAGTTCTTTATTACTCGAGTTTTCATTTTCTTCATTGTCAGATGTATCGTTACTTTGAACACCGGAAACAATTTTAAGATCAATTTCTGTATCAATGTTTAAATTTGTATGATTATCTATAGAAGACATCTCATTTACTTGATCATCCGGTCCTTTAACTTCACTTTCTGTTACCGATAATCTTTTTGCATTTTGCTTAATATTAAATATATCATAGTCATCATCATCTCTAAAGAATGGCGCATCATTTTCATCTACACCAATGGAAATTTTTGATATTAAATCTTGAGCTGGAGGTGTAGTATTTGAAGAAAATGTAGAACAAATTGGAAGAGACAAACGGTTTCTCGATGTTTTTTCATTTTTCACAATATTTCTTTTCATTGGTTCATGATGTTGAGTACTTATAATAGATGAACATTCTGATTTTGTAGCGTTACTGCGTGGGAATTGTACTTCTGTTGATCGTAAAAAATTTAAAGATTGAGAAAATTTATTTTCTGGCTCTTCAATTAAAGGAGGCGAAGCATTTGAAGGTTTATAATTCATCGCGGCTAATTGCATATCTGATATAGACGCAATGGATTTTGATATATGATGCGAATATCTTCTCGATAACTTGCGTGAAAGTATGGAAGTATCTTCAGTTGGTGATCGAATCTTGAAATAAAGTAATTAATTATATTATATTTTTATTGTTACAGTATTATTTTATTCAATATCAAAAAGTGATAATCATATAAAAATTCTTACCTCATCCAAAATATTATCAATTTCTTGAGGTGCGGGGATCCCCATTGTAGCAAATGCTGACCATTCATTTATTTTTGTAATAATTCCTCTACATTTGTTTAATGATTCAGTAAACAAGGTGAATTGGCAATCCGTTATCCGGCAAATTATCTGCATGACTATGCCATGAGCGTTCTTTTCTCGCTTTGTAACATGATTTTTATATGTGGTATATTTCTATAATACAGTATTAGGGTTTTTTTTTTTAACAAAAAAAAGAAACATTGTAGAAAATCTGAGCTTACTTCTAGTGCATCAGAAATTACTTTATCTTTCTTTGATTTCTTTTCATCAGTATCAATTTTTTTTATTTGCTTATATAACTCATTAGCATTCTCGTATGCTTTTTCTTCTTTCTAAAGATTGAAAATTTAGAATTTATGTGGGAGAAATTAATGATATCACCGACATTTATGATTATTTCATGACCTTGCCGGGTGTTCCAGATAGGAGGAATTCTTATATTTTTATATCAGACAATCAACCTTTAAATGTTGTTAATTTAGTCATTGATAAAGATTGGAATAATGTACAAATTGATAATTTGAACTACATATATTCTGGTAAGACATCTTATAAATATGCAAAGTTGAAAAACTTTTAATAATATCCCTGGATTTTTCCATATTTTAGAGAACAGAACTGACGAAGAGATTCCTACGACGTTATTAATCATTTCAGATTTCAATCAAAAATATGGTGCAATACAAGGATTAGAAGCATTAGAGTTTTTGGTATTATAAAATTGAATTTTGTATAAATTGATCATATAACCAATTTAACGTTATAAATATCCTATTTTCTGTAGGATTCATCACCAGATGTACGAATATCTCTTATCCATAACCCATCAACTGATACTGGTGACAGTATCATGTCATCAATGATATATTATCTATTATATGAAGTTGCGGACTTGCCAAAGCATGTATCATTAAAATCCGCATTTGAAGAGTTTTTGAATGAACTTTCGGTAGAAAAACATATAAAAAGTAGTAATGAAGAAGATCAAATTCCGATTGGAAGAACTAGAAATTCTGCAGTATCTGATGGGTGGCAAATGATTGATAATTTAAAGGCCAACAAATATTGGAAAGATATGAAACCATTCATTAAAAATCTATTAAAATTAGGCCAAGGAGAGACTGCCTTCGTCATAAACGGTCGTGTAAATATATGTTATTTTTTGTTTCCTTAAAATATGCATGTATGCGATTGTTGAACCTATTGATTTCTATTTTTTACACTCTAGATTGTTGGACCTATTAATTCGAATCATTTGTTTACCTTTGATGATTTCGAATTATTGATCACTACTGAACTTGCCGAACGCATCAATCCCGTTATTGAAAGTGTAAAAAATCTCAATTTAAATTTAACATTGGAAGGGTATTTGTATTTTATTATTTTGATTTTTCAATTTCACTTTTTTATGTATTTATCATAATGTTTATTGAATAAACGCGTAGATCAAATTATTCGGATTTCTTTTTAAAGGCAACTTCCGTAATTTCCGTTTCTGGTGTGTCTGAAGTTCCGGTTGGCCTCTTTAATATCCCAGATAATAAACGTGATCTCTTATACCAAACTCTAAAGAGAGACTACGGGTGCATACATTTATCCAGTTGAAGGGATTTGTTTGCAAAAAGAAAACATCCAAAAAGCTAATATAATCAATTTTCATTATTACTGATTCAATTTTTTAGTCTAATACAGATTGGTCAGAAAGACACCGCAATGTATTATATTTCTGCAATTGTTGATCCATTAAGTCCAACAGCACAGAAATGGTCAACTATTTTGCTAGTAATTAATATATATATATATATATGTGCTTTAAATAATTTTATTTTTTGATATTTATCCATAATTTAATTTATTGTAGACACTGTCTCAAATTGAGGGTGTGTACATTGAACTGTACCTATATCCTCATCTGTCTTTAAAAGAATTACCAATAAAACGTTTCTATCGATATGTTCTGGAGCCTCGGTTGAAATTTAATGCAACAACAAAGTAAGGTTCACGTGTTGTTTTTCGGTTTCATATAAATTAAATTTTACAATTTAATTTTAAATTTTTGTCATTTAAGTGCTCTTATTCCGCCAACTGCATATTTTGCCCATCTTCCTGAAGATCCACTATTAACACTTGGAATGGATGTAATTCAATCATGGTTGGTCACACCAAAAGTATCAATACATGATTTGGATAATATTCGCCTAGCTAATTTAGATAGTCGATATAAAATTAAAGGAGTAGATGCACTTTTTGAATTAAAAAACATTCTTATTGAAGGACACGCATTTGACATTACAACGAATTCACCACCTAGTGGCCTTCAACTTTTACTTGGCACAAATAATTATCCTGCAATGGTTGATACAATTGTGATGGCTAATCTTGGGTATTTACAATTAAAAGCAAATCCTGGAGTCTGGACACTTAGATTAAGAGAGGGAAAGTCAACAGAAATATATGATCTGCTAAGTGTTGGTAGCGAAGGATGGTTTAGTCGGAACGTTAGTGAAATTGGTAACGAAATAGTTTTAAACAGCTTTGAAGGGTTGATAATTTATCCTCGTCTGGTACGTAAACCGGGAAAGGAAAATGTTAATATTAAAGATGACGAAAACGATGATAGCTTTTGGGATTACTTTAAGAATAAGTGAGAAATTACAATATTGTGAACTTTATATACTCCTCAAACAAATTATTAAAACCATATATGTCTTTATTAAGGTTCACTAAACCAGATAGTCAGAAACAAGGCAAAGCTGAGATAAATATATTTTCGGTAGCGTCTGGGCACCTTTATGAAAGATTCTTGTATATAATGATTCTTAGTGTGTTGCAACATACAAAGAGTAAAGTGAAGTTTTGGTTTATTGAAAACTTTTTGTCATCTTCCTTTAAAGTAAGAAAATTATGTTTATGAAGTTGGCTATAAATTGTTGAAAGTAATGAGTGCAAATGGCTAATAATTCCTGACATATTTACATGTTTTATAGGATTTTATACCACATATGGCTAAGGAATATGATTTTGAATACGAGCTTGTTACGTATAAGTGGCCACATTGGCTACGCAGCCAGACAGAAAAGCAGCGTACAATATGGGGGTAAATTCTTAATTTAGAATAAATACATTAATTTATTCATTATATTTTGCTAAATCCTTTCCTTGTTTAGATATAAGATCTTATTTCTTGATGTTCTTTTCCCTCTCGATTTGGATAAGGTTATCTTTGTTGACGCTGATCAAATCGTTCGGACTGATCTAAAGGAATTAATTGATATGGATTTAAAAGGTGCGCCATACGGATATACTCCATTCTGTGACAATCGACCGGAAATGGATGGGTTTAGATTTTGGAAGTCTGGATACTGGAGTGAACATCTGAACGGAAAGCCATACCATATCAGGTATATTAAATACTTTATTCCTAATCTTGTTATGTTCAGAATAATAGATTTCTTTTAATTGACCTTTTTTTTTTTTTTTAAAGTGCTTTATATGTTATCGATTTGCAAAGATTTCGCCAGATGGCTGCCGGGGATAAACTACGTGGTCAATATCAGATCCTTAGCGCAGATCCGAACTCTTTGTCGAATTTGGACCAAGATTTGCCAAACAACATGCAACATATTGTGCCAATATTTTCTTTGCCACAAGAATGGTTGTGGTGTGAGACATGGTGCAGTGATGAATCATTAGCTACAGCGAAGACTATCGATCTGGTAAAATAATAAATCCCGAACATAAAGCACTCAATAGCATGCCCTTTATAAATGCACACTTCTGAATGCGCATTTTTAAAAATTTTGCATTTACAGAGGGTTGACTATAATATATTATGTTAAATATACTTTCATATTAATTCTTTTTCAATTTAGTGCAACAATCCTTTAACAAAAGAACCTAAACTCGAGAGAGCAAAGCGTCAAATTCCAGAATGGGAGTCTTATGATAATGATGTTGCATCTTTAGCGGCAAGGATTGCGCAGCAAAAAGCTTCTGTACAAGACAATCAGCAAAATGTTCCAGAAAGCAGTTCTCGAAAAACGGAACCAACTACCACTACTCGCCACAATGATGAGCATGAGCATGATGAGTTATAGGTAGCGTTGTCACTCGGACAAAACTCAACTCTAGATGACGTAAAATTTTATGGCAACCTAATTTAAACTATTAATTAAAATTGAACTGCAATTTTTTTTTTTTTTTTTTTTTTTTGGGGGAGGGGACATAATAATCTAGATGAGTATCGGGCAGTCCGGCGGTCAGTCCGCTGGACAGTCCAAAAAGCTCGAATTATAGGTAATTGTTGATAATCGTGATACAATGATGCATATAGTTAAATTAAATTTATCAAATTATTATATATGTAATTATAGTTAGATTGTTAGAAAAAACAAGTAAAGGTAAAATGTAAAGCAGGTTTCGTGCA